GCAGGGGGAAGTAAAGATGATAAGAAGAAGAAAGGTTATAGGGAAAAAGCGAAAGGCATGACAAGAGGTCGTCTTGTCAGCACACTCAGTAGTGCGGAGCAAAAGCGTTAATCTGTAAGGCGGCGAGGTCCGCACATGCACAGAAGTCGAGGAAGGCTCGGAGGGCTTGCGTCTTTGAGCGCGCAGGAAAAAGTATGTCTTCCATCGTTGTGGCAGGTAGTCCAAGCAGACGACAGCGGCTCACCAATATGCAACGCTCTGTGGCCATGTCTGGGCAGGAGCAAATAATATGCTGCAGCGTTTCGTCATCACCGCACCTTCGTAATGCTGGCGATGAAGAGCGACCCGCGGAATACATTCGTGCCGCAGGTGCTGCGGGTACTCCTAGGCAGCCTGCAAAGCATTTTTACTTTGGCGTCAGCATTCTCCTGGCAAGAGAAGTTGCGCGCGGAAATGTCCAGTGCCGACACTTTGTAAAGATGACGACAACAACGACTGCGTAGCAGCCGCAGCATGGCCAGCACGTGACGAGAAAGGAGGAGTGTCTGCACGCTGAGAGGAGCAGATCGGAATTCGAGATAAAACCAATACTCCACGGCAGCTTTTTTTTTTTTTCCTCTCCGCACAAGTCGTTTAAAGGAGAACGGTTACGAGGCAGGGACAAGAAAGGGGAAGCGTGGCACCAGCTCGTGAGAGACCGACCCCCCCCTCGTCAAGGCCCAGAGACGTGCTCCCGCAAGGTGCAAGGGCTGCAGAAGATAGTGCCTTTTTCCTTCCCTTCAGCCCCACATTCATTCAACACAGCAACAGCTTTCGTTTTTTTTTCCTCACTCCACGTGCGGCCACATGGCGCGGCGTTGGAAGTAGAAGGGTCTTTATGTGGCAGGGATGAAAGAGGGAGAAGGGTGACACCATAAAGAAACATACTTACATAAAGAGCGGACACTCCCGTAGGGCCCTGGGGCCCAACTACTGCAGTGCTTTCAGTGCCACGAGTAGTTGGTCAGACCCGATAATGTCTTCTGCATAAATAAACAAAACTTTTTCTTTCTGACGCTGGGATTTGAGCCCGTATCTTCATGCTCCGAACGCGAGTGTCTTTACCACTAGGCCACTCACCCATGCTTCCAGGAAAGCAATACATGTACAGCACATCTGAACCACATGAATGTGCCTCTTTGTGCAAAAACAATGCAGAAAGACTACATTTTCTAGTGAAACTTTACTGTTTTTTGTTACAAGGCATTAAATATTCTCAGCGGGACATGATCTAGAGCAGATATGGGAAATTGCACAAATCAATAAAATTTTTTCTTTGCAAAAAATTGATGCCAAGCTTGGGTATTCAATGTTCTCCTAAGGAGGCTATGAAACGTCTTGAAAAAGGAGTAAAAGCAAGGATGGGTACGCCATTTAGCGGTTGGTCAGACCCTTTCTTGCTGGGCCGGGAAAGGGCTCCAGTGGCCACTCTTTATATAGTATTGAAGAAGAATGGCAATTTGGGCACTTTCGTGTTGTTCTTTTTGCCTTCCGTGCCTCGACTTTCGTCTGTTTCTTCTAGCACATTCGTGCTCGCGCTGCAGCCCTTATTACCATGAATTTATATAGTATATTTCTCTATGGTGACACGGGCGTGTCGCAGATCGGCATTTGAGAGAGAGCAAACATTCCACTGTAGCCTTTTCTTTCCTTTCCATTTCCTTCGCAAGCAGCGTTGAGGTGTTGCAGGTGCTGCCGCGGGGTCGGGCGGGATGCTGAGAGTATTTTCAGAGCGCGGTATGTTTGAATTGACTGTCGCAAGTGCTTGCTCGTTCGAATTACCATGTGACTTCGCCCATTGGAATGCACGTAGCTTTGACAAGACCTCCTCGTGAGTTCGAATGAACCGGAAGTTTGAATTAAGCATGTTCGAATTAATGAGATTCGACTGTATTATTATTTGCTGCTTCCAAACAGAGATTGGAGTTATTAATAGTAATATTAGGGTCAATAAGCTCGTTTTGCATAAATCTAGACATCGTTGGTTGCGAGCGGAAAATCGTGTTCGTGACTGGAAAAAGAAAAGAGAAAGGTGTAAATAAAATAAATATCAAAATTTCGGGGTCCAAAGATCGAACTCTGGCCGCGGCAACAGGTATTCTACCACACGAAGAAAAAAAAATCAAGCGTCTGCTTTATATACAGGGAAAAGAAGTTTTTCTGATTGGAAATGCAGTGAAAATAAACTTCATGCTTTCCAAACGCGTGTCCTGTATACAGGCTTTAAAAGACAACATGTAATATTCCAGTAATATTGCGTGGTATAAGCGTACATCGCCATCTGGTGTTAAAACAGGCGTTTTTAACTATCTCCTGGTTTAAAGTCGGCCACCCACTACAAAAGCCACACACATTATGGCACTTATTCCCTTAAGACCGCATACATGGTACCTAGCAGGTTCGAAAGCATTTCACGCGCATAATTACTTGTGGTTTAAATCGCGCTACCCTTTAAAAAGAATGCACAGGGAACAGGATATCGCTCTCATGTTCAACTATTAAAGGCAAAGATTAGGGGTTGGTAAACTTTTCTCAGTTGTGGCATTATTGCCACAGGGCATATTACATACAAAGGAAAATACATGAAGGTTAGATGTAATAAGGAGAGAACTGAAGCAAAAAACGTACACTCAGACCTCATTATAACCAAGGTGCATCTTACAAGGAATAAGTTTTTTATATCCAAAAATTTGTTATAAAGGTTATTCCTAACACTGTTATCTATTGCAAGATTATTTTTCATTTACTTTGTTATAACCGACATCTCGTTATATCTGGGTTCGTTGTATCGAGGTTTAAAGGGCCAGTCAACAGGCTCCGACTTCTTTTTTACATCCCCCAAACAATCTCATTAATTCGTAGACTGCAGTGATCACGTTTCTTTATTATTACAGAGCTGAGCACCGTGCAGGGCCTCCATTTCGAAAAACAATTGCCCCGCTCCTTTGCTACGCCGGACCAATGCTGCTAGCACGTGCAGTGACCACAACTGTCTCCACAAACAGTAGTGAAGTCAATGGCAGTTCCTGTTCCTATCCACAGCTACGACAGAGTTATTCAATCATACGAGTTGCGAAACTCCACATAGGCTTCATGCATCGAAATCGGGACACTTCACTGACCCGGTTTCTGGGAGTGAGCAGATTCTCGCACCACCTGTTGATCAGCACACCTACTATTAAGTGCATTATTTGTGTTGCTGCTCTCAGATCGCGTGACAGTCTGCTCCCAAAAAATAAAACTCCAAAAAATAAAACTCCAGAAAACTCGGACCAACGTCATGTTCGGGTTTCGAAACGCAGTATTGTGGCAACTCGTCGTCGGCTGCAAATCAAGCGACTGGGCTGCGGAGAAGCATTGTCACCAGGTGAACAGTAAAAAACCAGGCAGCGCAGCAAGTGGAAGTGTGTTGCGACTTATCGAGTTCGCCGATGACATCAATAGCTAACGTCTTGTCACATTGCCGAAGTGGGCGGAGTCGCGACGACGGGCCACGCCTTCCCTCTGAAGGAGAAAGGTGGTGAGGTCGCGTGAAAATTTAAAACTAGCTGAACGCAATGTTCTAGGCCCTGTAACTTTCTTACTATAGCACGTATCTGCAAAAATCTTGCGGCAGCGTGTTCACGGCATAAAAGTACACATATTTCTCTTAACAACAATTTTTGGACCTAGCGGTTGTTTACTGGCCCTTTAAATGTATTGCTTTTTGTAGTGCACCAAAAGAGAGCACAAGCGTACTGTAATGTATTTGTGGTCATTGGGACCCAATGTCCTTTATATTGGACATTGTCAAAATTCGTTATGCATGCACAGAAACTACCACTATTTTCTGCTAATATATAAATTGATTTGTGTGCTTGAACCTCTTATGAACAGAAGTTAATGCTTAAATACGCTTTAGGGCATCCAAGAATGAATATAAATTTACTTCTTAGGTGGCAGCAGTTAAACTCACTCCTGTAAAATTCCGCCACTTCAAAGCCGCCTGAAAGGCGGGAAACACACAGACATTGATCATATTCACTAGATAGCAGCACGGGCCTTGCTAGCAGCCGATAAAAAGTTTTCCAGGAGAAGGCAAGCACTCTGAAAGCTGGGGTGCACTGTGTTTCTATGTCCAATATATTGAACAAATTTTCTACAGCCGGGTGTTGGGAGGATACGCACGAGCAACCATGGCCGAAGCATGTGTCCCCGGGCACCTCCTCTTTGCTGCTTGTAATGGCGTCTATTTTGGAATCGCTGTTTTGCGAAGGATCAAACGAAGCAAAAATGATTCGCAAAACACGGCGATTCCAAGCTCGAGACTGTCGTACTCAAAACTAGTCGACACTTTTTGCGGCAACAATGGCAATTCTGGTGACATGACTGAATGTGTGTGCGTAGCAGACGGAGGTTTGTAAAGCTGGAAGGGCACTACACTTTGTTTAACGCAATTACAAAAAAAACTTGCAAACTGAACTTAGAATACAGCGTATTTAGCATACATTTGACCTATACTATACTATGCTTGTGCCGTATGGGATCTTTCGGCCACATTGATTGATGAAATAGAAAAAAAGTTAATCGGGCGGCAGGTTTGTCTTGCGACGATACAAGAGGGGGTGGAGAGCGGCACTCAAGAGAAAAATGAACTTAGGTGAGAACTGCCATCTTTGTGCCAGGAAAACTTAACTGGGACTGAAATCACTATTTTCAAATATATTCTAATACAACAGGAATTAACAAAAAAAAAAAGAACCTTAAGGAACCTTACCATTCATCTAGAATGTTTTTCAAGATAAGAGGATTGTGTACGAAGACAAACCTATTTGCCATAGCATTCTTTGTTAGAACCATTAAAAAGAATAATAAGCTAGTTGTCTGAAACGCAAGTGCTCTGTAAATATTGTTGATGTCACTGCTGTTACACCTTCGGGCAATGCGGGCCGAAGGGAATAAAGGAATGATGTTTTCTGCAGTTATGTGTCGCGGGTGCATGTCCGCGACTCGTCCAAGCACGCCATCTTGGGTACCCAGCAGTTCAAGCCCAAGGAGTTCGCTGATCAGATCAACCTGAACATGGACAACGCATGGGGCATCCTGCGGTGCATCATTGACTGCTGCATGCGCTTGCCTGAGGGCAAGTACCTCATCCTCAAGGACCCAAACAAGGTAGTGATTCCATTGGTCTTCCCGTTGTGGCCCTGATAGCACCTATGATTCGGTTGGTAGGCAGATGAAGAAAGCGAACTCTTTATTTGGCTGAACTTGTGGCCGGGAAATGGAAAGTCCATTTACAGATATATACACTGTATACACTATAGCTGCGAGCAGGGCACGTCGGCTCTTATACGTGTTATCACAATAGGCCGTGTAAGTTCCAGAACTATCCAACTATTGATGGTAGAAGAAGCTATCAGTAGTATAATATCAATCACATCAACTCAATGCATCATAAGCTTTGTTCTCTGAGTTTGGGTTGAATGGTTAAGCAAGAAAACTGACAGGCTCGTGTTCTTTCACTAGAATGCTTCACTGACACAACTGTTGAGTCTCTCATAATCATGTAGTGGTTTCTGGAGATTAAACCCTCTCAATTATAAGTTGAACTGTTCATTTGTAGCAGAAAGGAAACCGTTAAATATGGCAGAACTACGTAGCTTCTAATTTATATTGCATTCCCTTATTTGATAGTAAAAATATCGAGCAGCAGTTTGGTTTTGTGCCCCAACAAACAAATATCAAGAACTAAGTTTGTTAAAATTTTTATCGATGGTATGGCCTTTCAGCTGTGGAAATTTTCTTTTGCTTAGATATTCCTCATGAGTATTGCTGATAGTAGGCTACTGTGGATGTTTTTATAAATACAGTTAAACCTGCTTATAACGAACCTCCATATAACGAATTCCTTGATATAACAAATTTTTCCCGCAGACAATCTAGAGATGTTGCAGTGGATTTCGGCATTTTGGTACGAGCATGCCTCTTCCAAGGGTTCCCCGCCGCCGAAAAAGCGCGAAGCGGCGGCGGCGCGCACGGCGCACTGGGTGAGCGGGAGGCAGGCGGCGGGCAGGCGCCCCACGAACCGGTGTTATCCCCACGGGAGTATGCGCGCGAATGCACCCCTCTCCCTCCATCCATACCACAAAAAGAGAAAAAGAAAATACTTTTTTCTTGGTAGTGCCACGCTTTAAGTTAGCGTTACATATGTGGGGCCGTGCTGCATGTGGAGGGCTCTTTATTGAATAGTCTTCCGTGGTATCTGTGTCTGTGTCCATGTTGTTCGCTTTTCGTTTACGACACCGTGTGAGCCTGCATAGTTTCACTGCATGTGCATGGTGTGGCTTCCAAGGATGTTCAGCTTCAGTTTTTTTTTTAATGTAAAAAATCATGTTGTCATCACTAAGGGGATGTCAGATTAAGCGCTGATGGAAACTTTGCGAGACCACGGTGACGAGGAATTTTCGGAGGCCGACTCGTCACGTGCTTCCGTCTTGCACTGTGCCGCTAGCCTGCAGGTTCGTAGCTTTGCCGATTAGCCGATTAGTTTTGGCAACAACACGACGGCGCGTTGAATGAAATGCAATGAATGCAATATAAAAAAATTGTTAGAAGAAGTAATGTTAGAAAAAAATGTTAGAAAAAAATTTGAAAAAAATGTTAGAAGAAGTAAGGCCGGCAGCCAACTCTTTTGGATCCGACATGGCAGAACACCTACAAAATGCTGGTGTGAGCAAATACGGCTGCTCTAGGGAGAACTGCTCTTTTCACACAGTTCCTTCGCATTGAAACTGCACTGACACTCGCCGAGACAGCAAGCGCACCAGCCATCGCGACTGCCCTTAAAATTTAAATTCATTATTGCTACTCGAGTGACCCCACCCCCCTTTCTGCACGTTTTTTTAAATTATGCTCGATCAAGACCGGCGGTTTTCATTCTGTTTGAGCATTTGACGGCAGTTTGCCGGTGATGTTACCTAATAGATGCCGGTGATGTTACCTAATACGCCTTCTAGGTGATAGAGATAGGCCAACTCATTTGATCGGAGCTTCAGAAGCGTTCGCACTTTTACCCGCTCAAGAAAGTTATGATGCGCAGGGGCATGTTATCAGCTTAGACTTCTCACAGAGTATGGCAGCGAGAGCATAAAGCTGCCGAGAGTGTCCATACAACTGCTATCGCAATAATTACGCAGTTTTTTCCCGCAATATATGTGTTTTGGGTTAGCTCTGCCTTTAGTCCCCCTTTTGTTTGATTTGTGCGTTTATTTTCCGAGTTTTTGCACCGAACCTTCATATAACTAAATCCTTTTTATAACGAATTTTTCCCGGAATCTATCAATTTTGTTATATGCTCCTGAGACCCAGAGTGAATTTAGGGTCATGGGTTTTCGTTAAACTTTCAGAAATGCTTTTTCTGAGTGCAAAGGTGAAAAGTGTCACGTAGTTTTTCAATATATTATGTTACTTGGCTGCAGCACGGTTTCCAATATATTGTACATTGGGACTCTATGGGGATGTTTTGGGGGAACAGATAGTAAGGCGTAGTTGAGGCCAGTGACCAAAAAAAAGGACATCTCGCAACAGAAATATACTTTTATTTGCTGGTTCCAAACCGAGAATACAATTGTTAATGGTCGTTTAAATTCCAGTCCGCAAATCTTAGTTTAAGATGAATGGGCATTCTCAAAGCATCGCTGTTCCTTCATGATGCAATAGAACAGTTGGCACTTTACGCAAAAAAACTTTGTTTTCATGTTGCAACCTTCATTCTGCAGCGAGCAGCATTCGGAATGCCCGCAAGTCGTGGGAAGTGACCAAATGTTTTTCTCACTGGAAGAGGGGGCAGTGGAGCTCGCTTTGTGGGCAGCTGCGAGCCTGAGTCACTGTCGCTGTCGCTTGCAATCCGCAACGCTTCATTTACTAGAGCGTCTGCCACAGAGACTCGGAAATGCAGAAACTTGAGGACCTCTCTTGGTCTTTTCTGTTGGTCACGCATATCTCTGGTGTACTGCAACCATGAGTTGCTTAGAGCCATATCCATGAGGTGGAAAAAGCACCTGGTGGTCCACTTACTCACCCTGGCCTTCATTTGGTAATAGCTGATCATCCGATCGGCCATATCAACACCTCCCATATTCTTGTTGTATAAACACACAATATTTGGCCTCGCTATGTTGACATGTTTTTTGTCTTTGTTGGACCACCTGCAACACGCGTCTTCAGGCTGTTTGCCATGAAGACAAGACATTAATGTAATTGCTTTGTTGTCATACCAACAGACAACTATTTGTTGTTCGTCATCTCCCTCCACAATCTCCGATGTTCCTCGTCCCTTAGGTTTAAGTTCACTTTCACTGGACAAGTTTACGCCTTTCGGGATACGATTGTTCCTCACTGGTCCGGTACCAGAAATGTCCTGCTTTGCCGGTTTATATACTCTTGGAACAGACATGAAATACCTGTCGAAAAAGAGCTGTGTTCCAGGTGCGAGATTGTTTGAAAACCTCAGTACAGCCGACTCTCCAATTCCAGAACTTCCTTGGAACAAAGTGGACTTCTTTCCTTGATATATTTCAAAGTCCGAAATAAGGCCACTTGGCGTCGCAAGCATAAAATTTTTCAAGCCTTCAGGGTTTGGTTTACGGGGAACGAACTGTTTCAAGTGCGTTCGCCCGCTGAATCGTATCATTTGTTCATCGATACTCAGGCACTCTTTTCGTGGCAGCTGGAGACAGCCATTGAGGATGGCTTTTACAAAAAATCTAATTCACCAAAGCTTGACTTTTTCTTTTTCTTCTGCAGCTACATCAAGTTCATTGACCACTTTCAGTCGGGATCATGGCTTAAAATACCGATCTCTGGGCATTTTGTCTGCGACAACTGGCACTCTGGTTTTAGTACTCCAGTACATTCGGATTTGGGGGTATCCAAGAAAAGAAATGGTGATTGACATTCCAAAAAGTGTTTTCAGCTCATCCGCCGTGGTATTCAAGCTCTTACCAGTTTCAAGAACATGACCAGTGTTCATTGACATTGCCATTGCGTCAAAGAGCTCATCCGGAATGTATTGTTTGAAGTAATCAAGATGACACCATGATTTCCGGTGGTGCGTGTCGACGACGGGCTGAAAAGCTGACATCTTCGAATTTGTCATCCTGAAAATGAATTAAAATGCATGAATAAACATAGTCTTAATACTGCCCAAAAAAGTAAATGTCAGCTGCAACAAGAGTGCAAATATTCACCGCTCTGTTTTTTTCCAACGGCTGGGTCTTTGCGTTCCGAAAGATGTGGAAGTGGAGCTCGATGCCACAGGGGAGCCTTCATTCATTGTATCTTCATCTTCAGAACTTGACTTATTGTGCAGGACTGATGAAGTAAACACAAAGTCTTCAGCAGAGTCGTCATCACTGTCCGAGAGGTCCAAGTCTGAGGTGTCCCACTGTGCAATTCTCTCCAAGATTTTCTCAGCCATGGCATCACTCACACGGGGCCTATTACCGACAAAAGAAAATACATGAAGTGTAAATGTAATAACGAGAGAACTGCAGCGAAAAACGTATTACTCTCTGTAGAGCGCCAAGAGAGCACACGCGCGTACTGTCGTGTTTTTGTTGTCATTGACACCCAATGTCCATTGTATTGGACATTGTCAAACACACAACGCATGCAAAAAAACTACCCCATTTTTTGCTCAAATATGAATTTCTTTGTGTGCTTCGATGTCTTACGAACACAAATCAATGCTTAAAAGCGCTTTAAGACATCCAAGAATGAATATAAATCTACTTACTTCTTAGGCAGCAGCTGCAAAAATCGTTCGTGCTCAATTCCGCCATTTCGAGTGCTCCTGAAAGGCGGGAAACACACTGATTTTGATTACATTCACTAGATGGCAGCACGGGTCCCACAAGCAGGCGAGGAAACGCTTTCTGGGAGGAGGCAAGCGCCTGGAAAGCCACGGTGCACTGTGTTGCAATGTCCAATATATTGGACAAATTTCCCATTGCCGGGTCTCAGGAGGATGTCCAGGTTTATCTGTATCACAAGCCAACAAAAGCATAATTATTTACAGCACTCTCAATAGTATCATATGTAGTACTGCTGCTGATGGTTTTAACTATCGGTAATACCATCGATAGTTTGAAGAGGCTATTGATAGTCTATTTACCGATAGCTTTCCACCTCTAGTTCCTTGTCCTGTATCATAAAGTGAATGCAGCCTCTTTCACTGTCAGGTCAAGAAATTTCTTTTGAGTATGTTCTTGTATGTAAACACAGTGCTTTTAGAGCATCACTGTTTGAAATGAACAGTAATGTGATGCATTCCTGTCAGAGGCGTAGCCAGAAATTTTTACAGAGAGAGAGAGGGGGGGGGTTATTACATGCTTCTCAATCATCAGAACTAAACCAAAATACGATTAGAAAATTTGTTGTAAAGCTATATTCCTAAGTCTACATCTGTTGCAAGTCTATTCTTCATGTGCTTCCTTACAACCAATAATTTCAACATCACCGGGTTTGTTATATCGATGTAAGCTTACATAAGCCTTACATACCAAGTTTCGGGAAATTTCATTCAGGCAATGTTGCCAAAATGCAAGAAATGCAATGGACATTCACACACATTTATTTCAGATGGATATTTTAGAAACAAAAATTTGACTGGGATTTTCTTTTCTTTTAATAAACGTGCAGTGGTGAAATTGGCGTGAGGATTTCCAGCCTAGAATTTATCACTATGAACCTATTCATATTGTTTCACTTTGGGGTTTTTGAAACTGTACTTGTATTTGATCATTGTATTTCATCCTTCTGCTCTAATGCATTTAGGAGATAACCAGTTGTCGTTGCACAATGGTTTGTTTTCTTGTGCAGCCTGTCATTCGTCTGTACGACATCCCGGACAACACCTTTGAGACGGAGAATGAGGCTGAGGACGAGGAGGACGAAGAAGAGGAAGAGGCCGGAGGAGGAGAAGGCACTGGTGGTGGCGAGGGCGACAAGAAGCCTTAAGACACTCCATAACCAGTGTGATGTTGAATACAGAGCTTGTTGCACTAATAAAAGATAACGTTTTGATGCTTATTGGCTGTTCGTTAATGGTTGTGACACTGCTGTGAGGGCTCGTCGCTTGGCTTCTGGGAATATTCGAAAGGCTTCAGATATTCGAACGGTAGTAACAGTATTCGAATTTAAGTTATTGTAAACTTCTAAAAATGAAGAAATAGGTGTATATTGCAGTATTTACTTGCGTAATTTGTGCGCTCGCATAATTTGCTTAAGGCCTTAAGCGTGTAGAATTATTTAGAAGGAGGTTATCCGATTGGTCACTAAAGTCAAGGCACGAGTGAAAATTAAACCCTTCACTGCAAAGTACGAATCCTGAACCTCACTATTTAAAGAAAAAAAATAAATCTAGTTTTTCGTTCATGAAGTATTACGGCTTGGTGGCACCAGCCACCGCCCGATCTTAAGGGTACAGCCATATCCATCCATTCATCTATCCATCCGTTCAGGGACCATGGGAATGATGGGTAGTACACACATTTGCCTAGTCTTCGTACTTTCGGACGGCAAATCGTACTTGCGGCTTCGTTTACTGCTGTGTTTCAATTTTGTTTTGAGAGAAAGATTCAACCATTTTAAAGTTCATGTCCCGATTACGAAAGGTAAGTCTAAAAAAAAATAAGATGCCGAAGCACAACTGCTGAACATTTGCTGATATTTGTTTCGTGAAAAAACAACTTCAAGCCACACGAACACACACGGAGCCAGAAGCAAGCCAGAAGTACGAATAATTGACAAATTTGTGTACTACCCATCATTTCCATGCCTATGGTGGCTAGAAGGAGAGGTGTCTGAATCAGCGCGCTGGAGTGCGAGCGAGAATTCATCCGGATGCGGTGGCGGTGCGGTCGCTTTCAAGATGCCCCTCCTCGCGACCGCGCATGCGTATCATTCATTTTTTCGTGTCAAATATTTCACGCTACCTGCGGATTATAATAAAGTCTACCTGGTCACAATTCTGGCAGCGCGGCGCAAAGCGTGTATTGGCACTGAAAACTAGTGTTTTCAAGTCACTTCGTGGTATATCAGCTACGAAGTTTAGAAGATAGAGAATCAATTTTGGCTTGACACGAACAACAAAGTCCGGGCAGTTTTCAAATTTGATGCCTCAGTGTTCTCCGTGAAGTCTCAATGCACATAAAGGTATCGGCAACCGTTATTTTTATGACTTGCGCAATCAAGGTCTAATTTTACAAGCAAGACATTTATTTTCTTGAGAGCGAAAAACAACATGAAAAAGAAACACGACATATGCATTAAGGTTGAAGAGAACAGGTTATACGACACTCAGCTAAAGCAAGTGCATAGGCAACTAAAAAGAACAGTAAATATACGATGATACAATGGGCGTGCATACACACATGACATTGAGTTCTGGTTGGCAAACATAGATACAGTCACAAACCAGTTCACGAAAAATTGATTTCTGCATATGTGAAGCATAGCCAGACAGTGACATCATAGTTGTTAATGGAATATTTGTAACAATGTGAACAAGGCAATAGTAAAATCACAAGAAACAATTGAGAGTAATGCACAATACTATAAAGTAAAACCTTGTTCGCTGAGTTAACACTATGACAGTTAAGTCATACGTCTCAACTTCAAGAACTTCATTTTTTCTCTCTTTTTTTTGATTGGACACATTTTCTCCAGCAGCAAGAAAATGCATTCTGGTCAGCTTAAAAAATCTAATTTCACTTCCTCTAAAAATCTAATTTCACTTCCAGTTTGTTGTGTTCACAGCCGACCATATTTAACCTCTTCACAGACAGGCAAGAGATAAGGAATAGGTGAATGCATCTTCCATAGCTTCGACCAGGTCTGTTGAAGGCATGCTTCTGTCGGAAGCAAGTCGAAATTTTCAGAGTGAAGAAACAACCTGCTACATTCGTTGCACTTCGTCCTTTTCACAATCTTCTGGGCCACATGGCCACTGACATAATAAATGATCCGGGAGTAACTTTTTTGTCCAATGATATCAGTGTGGTCAGGGAGGGCTTCACAAGCAACAATCATTTCATGAACCTCATTGAGGCACTCCGCATCTAGCAGCTCATCCAGCTTATTCTGTAATTTTATTAAATTATTATGGATGCTTGGACCTAGAAAGCTGCTGAGAATTCCAGAAGGTATGTTTCTACTGGAGGGTGACTGTGCCAAACTGTAAAAACTGAGGCAATTCGGGAGATCGAAAATTGTGCCGGCGAAGGGTGATCATGCGAGCCAGACATTTGCTTCAGAATTCCAAAAAGATTTTAAGCGCATCTTGGCAGAGGCGAGACGAGATCAAGTATTTATAGCTCAAGGTTTTCGTGACATAATTCAGGATGGAAAGGGTGCTGGTTAGAGAGACGCAAACTCCTTCAGCAGTTAGTTCACCCAGGAACCCACCCTCCTTAGGTACAGCTTTTTTCTAAGTTGATACATGCATGTAGAACCCGTTGATGACATGCTTGCAGCTACGGACGATGAATCTTTCGTCGAAATGAGCTTCGCACACAACGCAGTTCTTTTCCAGTGGTTTGTCAGCGCGAGGAATCGCACACTCCCAAGCTTTGCGCCGTTCATCATCGGCGGGAGCAGAGAAGAGAGACGCTTTTTTTCCTTGTTTGCAGGCATAAACATATCCCGCATTGCATCCAGGTGCAAAGCAGTGTCTTTGCTGTTTACCCATTACAGTGAAATCTCGATACAACGAATTGGAAGGGACCGCGGAAAATAGTTCGTTATTTTGAAATATTGTTATAGTGAAAACATTGAAAATTCGCATTAAAAATCGTAAATGCAACAAAAGGAGTCGCCTACCTTTGCTGCGTACACATCCTCAAACGCTTGATTTTATGACGAGCGTGAAAAGAAACAAAACGCGAAGTATTCCGGAATGAGCGCACGTTTATTTGAAAAAGTCGGTGATCTTGGCCTGGCGGGTGCCGCTCAACTGCCGGAGGACGAACGCTTCGAAGTTGTCCACATTCTTATGCTCTGCTTCGGTGGCATTGCTGCACCTGCCAAGGTAAGTGCGCATCTTTCGCACGCATTCCATGATGTCGGCGTTGGAAAGCGATTCTTCTGGTTGGCCAACGGGCGCGGTCTCGGCGTCGTCTTCGCCATTGGCGTCCTCGTCGCTGTTATCACCACGAACAGCACTGACGATGTCATCGGTCGTCAGTTCGGCTGACGTGCATGCTTCGTCGTCGCACTGCACATAGTCCTCGAACGTCACCGAGGCATCCATCGCGAGTCTTTCGACGACTTCTTGCCACATGCCACTCGCGTCGCTTTCTTCGCTGCCTTGTTTAGATTCAGATGGCATTACTACCAAGCCTGCCTTCCTCCAGCAGTTCTGGATGGTGGTTGATGTAACGCTCCACCAGGCCCCGGTAACCATTTCTGTGGCCTCTCGCACATTGATGGAGGTAGGCAGCGTTATCCGAAGATTTATCAGCAATCGCTGAACCAGGCGTGTCCGGTAATGAGCCTTGACACTTTTTATGATGCCTTGGTCCAGTGGCTGGAGCAAGGACGTACAGTTCGGAGGCAGGAATTCCAGCTGTACATTTGTCAGCCTGACATTAACAAGATGCGCCGAGCAGTTGTCGGCGATAATCAGGATTTTCCTACCTGCGCTCCTCATCTCATCGTCCACCTTTAGTAGCCACTCAGAGAATAACTCTCGTGTCATCCACGCGCGTGAAAATTAGCCCGATAATCGCACGGCAATGAAACAACGTTCCTCATGCAGCGAGGCTTCTTGTATTTGCCGATCACCAAGGGCTTCAGCTTCTTGGTGCCTGTGGAATTGCAGCATAACAATACCGTAATCCAGACTTTGGACTGCTTGCCGCCTTTGCAGCTGTTCCCTTTAAAATGCATGGTTTTATCAGGAAGCATTTGATAGAAGAACGCCATTTCGTCCGCATTGAATATATCATCTTCGGAGTATGAAGCGACGATTTCGCGGAACTTCTCGTCCCTCCATGCAGCAGCGCTTGCTGCGTCTGCCGCCTTCTCTTCACCAGACACCACTTGCCAGGTGATTCCATTCCTTTCACGGGAACGATGAAGCCACACCGCGCTTGCTTCGAAGCCTGTGATGTCCAAAGCATCAGCGAATTGCCGGGCTTTTTCCTGCAGCATGGGTCCCGACACCGGCACATTTTGAGAACGCGCGTCCTTGAACCAAGTCAGTACTGCAGCATCCACTTCTTGGAAATTCCCAAGTCGGAGCCGTTTTCTTGACGGTGCGAGTTGGGACCCTCGGTGCAGCTCGAGTATCTTTTGTCGGTCCTTCAGGATGGTTGCGACAGTTGATGGTGCAACCCCCATCTCGTTCGCAATGTGGATTTGTTTTTTACCGGCGTCCACTTGAGAAAGAATATCCACTTTTTCTTTCAAAGAAAACTGCCTCCGTTTCTTTTTCGCGCTGCTTCCGGAGCTCATGGCGAACGCAGAAACGAATCACTCTAACCTTTAAAACGAGAAAGCCGTACGACAATCGTGCGACGTTGCCGGTCGACGTAACAAAACAAAGCCGGCGAGGTTAGGCTCAACCTGGCTCCACGAGCATGCAAAAAAAAAAAAAAAAAACCATCGAAAACAAGGTACTGGCGATGGCGATAGGGCTAGCCAGGCTAGTGCGCATTTAGCATAAGGCAACGCATGGAGAAATGAGCAGAAGCTCTGATGATGATGATAGTGCTACATATGACGCTGGGCATTTAGACCGCCGCACGTAATTTTTACGCTAGAAATTCGTTATTTTGAAGTGCTTACCAGGGTGATAAAATTTGATACGTTATTCTGAAACATCCGTTATTCTGAAATTCGTAGTAGTGAAATATTTTTACATTGAACCAATGGACATTTGGAAGGGGATTTCCGAAATATTCGTTAATCTGAAAAAATCGTTAATCTGAGGTTCGTTATAACGGGATTTCACTCTACTGTGGTGTGGTCACGTTGGTACGTATTCATCCCTAACAAGTCCAAATGGGCAAAGCGCAGACGTTTCGTCTTGCGAGAACACAAGCAAGCGAATAAATGTGCCGCGCTAGTGGATGGCGAGCCCTGTCGACCGATCACAATGGCGACTTGCGAAACGCTCCGCGGCGAAATGAAATACCAGCACGCCTCATTTCAAGGCGTGGCCGGGATAGAGTGTACTAGAAGTGTTGAGTGGCCTGACCACGCCTCGCTGCCTGATCCCTTCCGCGTTGCCCGCTGCGGCGCCGCTGCAGTCGAATAGTACTGAAGGAGCTGCGCGCCGCGTGCAGGAACTGCTATGCGCTTCGGCTCCTCCCTTGCGCTATCTTGATGCATATTTCTTCGTACCTGCCCATCATTCATGCCTAGCACATGATGCCATCACCCATGATGTACGACACGGCAACCTACTGAATTGGAGCTCCATAAAAGGCCTTGTGAGAAATCGAAAATAATTGAGAAAGGATGTGTCTTTACTGATTTCTTCTCTCTTGACTCTGTCTTCGTTGGTTAGCCGTCTTCAATATTCAGAATAACTGAGCCGATTTATTGAAAGTTAGCAATGCTCGGAAAGCTGTGAGATTAAAAAAAATGCTGTCACACGCATGCAGAACCAGAAAGCCATAAGTAAAGAGGGGAGAGGAAGAGAATTTGAACCTGTACACCACGAAATGTTTTCGTAATTTAACTTTTCAGCATATACTAAAATACTTACGTGCATTCACAGCGACCACCAAGTGTGAAAGTTAGGCATTCTGCTGCACATCCTACCCCCTGAAAAAAAAAAAAAAACAGAAATCTGCCATGGGTAGTCCTGCGCCAATAGTTTACCGTTGGCGAAGCTGTATATAGCGTGTCTCTACAATTGCGCACTGTAAATTTCACCTTTTCAACAGTATGAGGTCTCAAAACCAGTTCAAGTGAAACGTTGTTGGACGAGAAAATAGCTGTGCTAAAGGACATTGCATATATATATATATATATATATATATATATATATATATATATATATATATATATATATATATATGCGATGTATACCGACCCATTAAGGAGAAAGCCTTTCTTTACGCACGCTGTCACGGACCCTGCTGCCACCGCGGCGACAATCTTGGGTGGCCCGACAAACGTCGAGAACTGAACGGCACGTGATAAGAACCGTATGTGGACGTACACGGACAGTTGGTTTCGTTCTCAGTGTTGACAGTGGTTTTTCCTCTTTTTTACGTTCTTTCTTTTCTTTCTTTTTCGTCTTTTTTCGTCCCCCTTTTTTGTTTTTGTTTTTTTTGTTTCCTTTTTTTAGTTTCCTCTCACTCTCGCAAACATCTTTCAAGGCGAGAGGGACGCGGCAGCAAGGAAGTTCATGTCAGTATAACTCATCCCCTGATGAAGGGAGGTCCCCTCCCGAAACTGTTGGGAAATAAATATATTTATCCTTGTTGACAACGCTCCCGTTGTGTCATATCCCATACCTTCACGAAGACTAACTGGCCCATTGAATTATTACTTCCACTATATATATATATATAGACGTAGCGGGGAAAGAAGCACACTGGCTCTGTAGTAGTAAAAACGTAAGCGAGAAAGCACGACGTACGACAAAACACTTTTATTAATCGCATACGTTTCGGCTGGGGGGCCAGCCTTGGTCACACTGACGATGGCTGACCCACCAGCCGAAACGTGTGTGAGTATTAAAAGTGTTTGTCGTATTTTGTGCATTCTTGCTTCCATTTATAATATATATATATATATATATATATATGTGTATGTATGTGTGTGTGTGTGTGTGTACATATACAAGTTAAATTTCTTAATAATACATTCAACATTACATTTTTACATTTAATTTTTACATTTTCCTCTCTTCGTCTCTTCCACGAGCTATTCGTTTGTGGAATGATTTGCCAGATGATGTTGCGTCAGAACAAGACCACACAAAGTTCTGTCATACTCTTGAAAAATACTTATGCACCAAAAACTGCTCTATCGCATCTTCGTAATCATCAGTGTTTATAGGACTGTTGCCGATGTTTTTGCACTATTGCTAGGTTGTGGTTACTGTCATAATAGTTTTTTTTGTATTTCACCTTCACAAACTGTAACTCACTTTTCTAGTATGTATTTCGCTTACATGTTCTTAAGTTGACCTGCATTTTCTATTATATTCATTATTTGCCTATGTATGTGTAGATATTATGTATATATATTTTTCTAACATATCTGTACCGCCCCCCTTACACAATGCCCCTCGTGGGCTCTGTAAGGTACTGTAAATAAATAAACTAAATACAATTTAGTTTCTTAATAATACAGGGGAGAAGAAGTTGTCACAGAGAACAGCCTTTTAGAGGCTCGTATAAAGCTTGCTCGACACAGACGACCATATGCGGCCCTAGTAACCCTCTATTTAGCCAAGGCATATGACAGTGCTGAACATCCTATTCTTATCAATGCCCTGAAGGAGCTTATGTTCCCGCAGTTCATAACAAATTGGATATACCAATTTTTAAAAGACAGAAACTTTTATTGCTCCCAACGAGGTGTTTCCACACCGAAGTATAGCCAAACGAGAGGTGTTCCTCAAGGCTCTGTTCTATCGCCTGTGCTATTTAACATTTTGTTAAGTTCAATACCACTGAGTGATAAGGTACAAATATATGTATATGCAGATGATATCGCGTTCTTTGCATCTTACAATGATATTTATTTACTACACTCGACTTTACAATTTTATTTGGCAACATTAGAAACCTGGTTTCAGAAAATTCATATGAACCTGAACGTAACTAATAGTGCTATAATGGTTTTTCTATTGGATGTACCAGTTACTATTTCTCTTCAGTACCATCAAGAAATAATTCCCCAGGTTAACTGTATTAAATATCTGGGTGTACTGTACGATCAAAAACTGAGCTAGCGTGACCACATTGAACATATTAAAATTAAGGCTACATGCGCTGTTGGGATGATAGGTAGGCTTGGCCGCGTCCGTTCCGGTCTTCGCAGAGATAAGCTGATCATGATTTATCGCATGTATGTTCGCCCGATTCTTAAATTCGGATGTGTACTATTCTCTGGTGGACCAGCATACAAAATAAACCCCCTGATTCTCTTAGAGCGGGAAGCTCCTCGTAGTTGTTTAGGTGTGCCAAAATTCACAGCTAAAAATGTTTTGTATCGAGAAGCTTGTATACCCACTCTTGCTTGCAGATTCCGTATTTTAACGGTAAAAATCTATTTAAAATTTTCTGAATCCACTTTAAGAAGGCGACAGCTTGTATTCTTTGCCCAGCCTGGTGTCTTTTTCAATGAGCATTGGTCCCGTGTATATAAACCCCAAGAGCTATTTGTTCAAACACTTCTAGATGCTTTAAATGCTAGTATATTCGAGATCACACCATCTGTCAAACCATCTGCCAAGTGCAAATAGAATTTGACGATATCTTCTACATGAGCGCTAAACACTTGCTCTCTAAATATTTGATTGGTTTATTAGAACAACACCTGTCTCAATTAGGTACTAATATAGCAATTGCAACAGATGCATCTATGAGTGGCGAGAAGGCAGCTGTGGGTATTTTTTCTCTCTCATTATTCTGGTCCTTTTCATTACGCCTCCCAGATTATACACCAATATTTGAAGCGGAATTGATGGCCGTTATACTAGCTATTCGAAAACTTCCTGCAACTCATTCGACAGCTGTGATAGTGCCCGACTCGTGTTCCGTGTGTTCATTTTATCATCGTCGTTTGCATCAGCAGTACTAGAGCCTTTCAAATCATGAATCCCAGCAAACATTCGTCTAGTGCGAATGATATGGGTGCCAGGCCATCGTAGTATATTTATAAACGAGATGGCTGACAAACTTGCGCGAACATCTCTTGATCTTCCGATTGTGCCAATTATGCCTCCTACAGCTTATGTAACAGCAGCGAGGTTTAGAAAACTTTCCCTTCTTGAAGACTCATCAAAAACCATGATACCGAATCCAGATTTCTCGCACCTGCACTTCACATGGAATAATAAATGGTGTCCCACGCGTAAATTGGAAGTCTTGATAACAAAATTACGTTGCCGTGTAGCACCTCTTAATTTCTACTTAAACAGGTCTGGTCTGGTGCCATCCCCTCTGTGCTCAAGCTGTAACGAACCTGAACATATCGACCATTTTCTTATCACATGTCACCGTTTCAAAAATCAAAGAAAAAATTGCTTAGAAATTTTATTAAAAAAACTAGGAATATCACTTAATACTCCCAAAATTTTGTCTTTTGGGGCCGCTTCATTGGGACACAGCGACAGGACCATCTGCGGGGCTTTCTGCGAATTCCTATAGAAC